AATTTATTGGCTATTCTAGATTACATTAAACTAAGCTAAAGCACACACATACACACACATACATACATACAGTTCTGAAGAATGATGTTAACGGAGTTCTGAGGAAAGCCCAAAGTTTTAGCAAGATATTCGCTACAGTTCTCTTACTTGCAATCTGAGAAAATCACAAAGCAGAGATTTTCTTATCTTTACTGCTTAACTCAAGTCACCAGTTCAGCACCTATTACAGCAGATGGAAAACCTTGTTTGTACTTGCATTTTTGGGTGACAGCTGAAAAGCTGAGTTTCCTGGTTTCTCGTGGCTGCTGGAGGGAATTTCGTTGCTGATTGGCTGTTGATCTGGCACCTGAATGACGTTTGGATGACGTCCCTTTGGGAGAGCCCTCCGGAGATTGGTTGGTTTCTTGATGACGCAGAGGCTTGAGCAATTTGGCTGAAAAGTCTGAGTTTGCAAGACTTTAAGTTCTTTGAAGATCTCTGACAATCACAGAAGTTTCAACTGAAGTGTTTGAGTTTTAGATGACTGATCGCTTTGATGGTAAGCGTGTGAGCACAAGATGGAGTGCTTCAGGGAAATGATGTTAACGGAGTTCTGAGGAAAGCCCAAAGTTTTAGCAAGATATTCGCTACAGTTCTTTTACTTGCAACCTGAGAGAATCACAAAGCAGAGATTTTCTTATCTTTACTGCTTAACTCAATTCACCAGTTCAGCACCTATTTCAGCAGATGGAAGACCTTGTTTGTACTTGTGTTTTTGGGTGACAGCTGAAAAGCTGAGTTGTTCCTCGTGGCTGCTGGAGGGAATTCCGTTGCTGATTGGCTGTTGATCTGGCGCCTGAATGACGTTTGGATGACGTCCTTTTGGGAGAGCCCTCGTTGGATTGGTTGGTTACTTGATGACGCAGAGGAGCCTCTGGCGGTTCTTCTGAGACAGTCTAAGTTTGCAAGTTCTTTGAAGATCTCTGACGATCACAAAGTTTCAACTGAAGTGTTAGAGTTTTAGATGACCAATCGCTATGATGGTAAGCGTGTGAGCACAAGTTGGAGTGCTCTTAACCCGGCGAAAAGCGAAGAAGCAAGCAAGCAAGCGAGTCTGTCTTGCATTGGGTTTTTGATCCGCGGCGTAAGTCCGTCCCACGGCGCGATCTTCCAATCGACCTCTTGCAAGGCGGAGCGTGCATACATTAACTTGAGGCTCCAATTTATTATGTGGAGACACCACCTATAAAAGTTTTGTTAATACTTCTATAAAGTTCCTTAAATGCAAGTATGGTACATAATATTAAAGTTTACTTCATTTCAACATTCTGCATTTGTCGTGCCCATTCGTTCAAGATTAAACTTCACATATTACACACATTAATAATAACCTTATCTACTAAAAGGTTAATAAAACACTGATTAAAGTTGCAAGGTTACATTTTGACACCTCAAGATATAAGACATCCAACATATTATTTGTGAATATGGTTGCCCCTTTTTATACGAATGTCTTTTGAATTGTCTGTGTAAGTTCTCTGTTTCTTTGTCTGTGACAGGAAAACTGCGCGCTTTTTCTGGAAGGTAGTAAAAGGATGCGTCGCTTTTTTTTGGAATGCAGGGGGAAAAGGGGAGGTGTCCTGATGTCATGCCCATGTAGATTCAATCGTTCATTTGTGCGATATTCGCAGAGGCCTTACACAACATATGTGCAGTTCTTATGACTTTATAGGGCAGGGGGTGTCAAACTCAGTTCCTGGAGGGCCACTGTCCTGAAGAGCTTGATTAGCTGGATCAGGTGTGTTGGAGCTGGTCTGAAATTATATTTTAACTGTATAACCATTTTTTGCTTACCTCCACTGTAACTGATTTCCCCACACAAATGTTAATGCTTTGATGCTGACTTAAAGTCCCTGTAAAGTCAATATTAAGTATGTGTTCTGAGTTTGTCACACCACAGAAAAAATACCTCCACTGTAACTGATTGCCCCACACAAATGTTAATGCTTTGATGCTAACTTAAGTTTGATCCCTGTTAAAGCTAGAATGTCCTCTAATGTGTTGATTTACAAATAGGCATTGAATGAAGAAAAACGAGGCAATTTTATTTTTATATAATTTTTCATAAAACTGCAATTTAAATATATTATTTCTATAGGCTATACAAAAAAGACAAAAAAGTACAAAATAAATAGGCTGAAAAAGCTTATCTATAACATGTTAAATGGTAGTAGCCTAGTCAATGAATGGTACACCCCCCTAAGCTCACAGAAATGGTTTGACCCAAGTCTTCAGCAGCCAATGACACTGACCCTTTCAAACAGATTTTAATGCATATTTTAC